GCGCCCTGGCCTGACCTTCCCGGTACTCTTCCGGGATCGTCCCCTGCCCGCGCGCTGGCCGAATGAAGTCCGCGGTCACGGGTTCGAGTCTGGGCATCCCTGCTGGCCGTCACGATGGAGCTCGGTGTGCTGGGGCTGGAGGAGAGGAAGCAGTGTGCTTCTCCGGGGGGACGCGCCAGTGCAATTAACCTGCTTAGGGACCCTTGGAACTTGTATTAAAAAAGAAAGGAATGAAGTCGCAGAATGTGCCCCTGCACTACAGGCGCGCTGACGTATTTATAATTAGTTCTCCCGTTCTGTTACATAATACAGTCTTAACGGGCTAAGAGAAAGCGCTAATCTGGAATTAGCACTCGTTGCTGAGACACTCCTCTGCATTGGCCGAGGCTGGGGGTGGGGTTGGGGGTGTGCGACTTGATTTCTCGGTACCCTGCCCGAGGGCCTGCGTGCGTGGGTTTTGTTGCATTTATCGCTCTGTCGGAGGAGGTGGAACGTGGGGAAGACACTGAATATGATTGCCGTTTTACTGCATCTATTCCCAGGCCTGTTTCCATCCCTCCTTCTTTGCAAAGACTTACCTAACAGTCAGTTCCACTTACTCACCTAATCCATTTCATGCTTAACCCGTGCGACGGGAGACTGTCAGTTCTGTAATGATGCCAAAAGGGTGAGAAACTTGCTCTAACTGCTACTGTAAGATGATGGGTTTTAGACGAATCATGTTAAATAAAACACAGGTAGACCCCGGTGCTGTGATGCCCAGGTAGGGGAACCCCCAGGAGGTTGGGCTCAACTCAGGCGATCTCTGCATAGTCTCACCAGACACAGTCTCCTGAGGTCACTTTGTTTTCATGCTGTGTTTACTGGTAGTGTTCTCGTTTCAGCTGTTTTCGTATTTAGGATATCATACTGTATCTGGTTTGATAAAGATGAATAAAATTGGTGCATTCTTGCTACAGATTTTAATCAATATTGGCTTTACTCTCTGTTAAACGCATTTAGACAAAGTACAACCTTTCCTGCTTCCCTGCATGGTAGACTGAAATCATATAAATCATATAGCCCGATTGCCTGGGATCTGAAACAGATTCCCTGGGTTCTTGAACAAAAAGAATCCATAGCTGGATGTGAATTTCAGATCCGTAAGTTCCTCTAGTAACTGACTGAGGAAGATCTTCTCTCTGGTAACCTTTATTACGTTTTTACATGCAGAAACCAATTTTGAAATGGCCCATGGGTGTAATTGAACGAGTGACTTGTTAGCTCGGTTGAATGCCTTGTGTTCTGTGCACCAGTATTGGTAAAGAGCTGACAAAGGTGTTAACTGTTGAACACGACTGCTGTTAAGATTTGGCACAAGATTAAGAGGAAAACGGTATTGGCAGAGATCATTGGAAAAGAAGGTAAAGAGCAGAAAATCATAAGGGTAGGAGTATTAGGTTGTCCCTAGTGCAGATCAGCCTTGCTTCTGTGAAAGGCTGTCACGGAAATTATGTTTGGTATTTGGGGATTTTATTAAGTTTAGGCAACTTACAGTACAATATATTTCACTCTGGCAGCTGCAAGAATGGAACAAATGTACACTCCTGTGAATTTGTCTTAGTCTGTGTTGTTCTGCAGAGATCTTATACTGAATTTCTATCCACTTTGTTTTAGGATAAAAGCTTATCCTAACAGGGCTGTACTTTGTAGTCTTGCAAGTGATGTTCTGTATCTGTAGAAATGAACAAATGTTGCTCTTGTATAGCTGACCTGACTGATTTTGCCTCAAGCAGTGCGGATTGTCATACACTGATTTGCCTGAATATCCGATCGGTAAATGGATCCGTAGGTCTGACGGAACTCCAGAAGGAGTCCTTTGTTGGATTAAGTGGCCCAGGATACGAAATTAGGAAATACATTAAGTTTAGCCCATTTGTTTTGGTGAACAAATGCTTGGTTTCTAAACAGATTACCACGAATACTGACTGGTGGCAGATCTGTAATACCCAGATTATTAAAACTAAATCCCCTTTCATTAAAAGGGCTGCTTAATCCCTATTTTATTCATTCCTTGTTTTTTTTATTGACCTCTTTATCCTGAAGCAGATGTTTCTCCACTTAAAGATTTCCTAATGCTGGGAGCCAGAAGTCAAAATGGCTGTCGTGGGAACCAACCGTCCCTGACTCGATGTGATTTGTTTGTAGAATTTGTTTAGCCAAATGAATTGGCTACAGATTCATCTGCTGCCACAGAGACTGGGATTTGCATATTGAAAGCGAATGGTATTTGACATTAAAAAACGCTCACAACAATGAGAACAGGAACAAAGCTGCAGGGGTTTAATTATTGTTGCTACCTTACCCAATCGATTCTTGTTCCTCAGTCAGAAAAAGGGGTGGTCATTTTTGCATTCTTGATTCCATCTTCATGCTATGTTCAGTCCTAAGATATGATTTTACACTCTTATTTCTGCCAAAAGTCATTCTTTTAATTTTTATGCCTTTCTTTCATTCAGAGCTTGAATAGTCTTGGATCATTTGTAGTTTGTTAAATGACTTTTGTGTTTGAAGGCTCAGGGATTCACATCCTCAAATACCGGCAACATTCTTCAAACTAGACACTGCAAAATGGACGACCTGATCTTTCATCGACTGCAAAGAGACATGCAAGGATGGTGGGTTTGAAGTCTGTGCCTCAGCAGCTCAGCTGGGTGACTTCTTATGGACTCCCAAAGACCGAAATCTCATTCTAAAATACACTGCTGTTAACCTTGAAGAAGAGCATTGAGTTAGATTTGTCAATAGCCTAGATGTATATGAATATTTT